CTCCAGGGAACTGTACAGATACTGTACACAGGTAAGCTGAGGTCAAGGGATCGACCCCTGGGATCTGCATCGGCTACTGCCAAAGGTGAAAACTGTTTCACAGCAGACGATCGGGACCGTCGCGGAGTGTAAAATTGCAGGGCCCCGATCGTCTGCTTGTCACGGGCCGAAAATTAGCGATAGTTATATATTAACGGATTTCCTGGAGGGTGGTGGCTGGCATTGCGAAGTCCTACTATTCTTGTTCTGTGCTGATTTATTGGAGGCAGGTTGGGGGGCTTCCTCTTCAGGAGATTACTGAGCAGTGAATACTGTAATCTTGTGCATGTATCGTCAACACCTTAGTCTTCCTAACTTTCTCCTCTTTGGTCTGGGCAGTGGGCACTGAGTAAATGCGTGTACTCTGGGGCCTGGGCAGGGGGCACTGAGACAATGCGTGTACACGAGAGTTCCATGTGGTTGTGATTCAGCAGGTTTCGTCTCCACAGGTTCCTTGCATACTCACCTTCTTGCTGATGCACTTGATGCTGCTCCTGGTTTTGTTCCCAGCAAGTCTCTGATCTGGGACAAAAATAAAACCACATGACAGGACCAACCATTACATTTCCGCCGTTTTCTTTTGTGTGTTTTTCTTCAACAAAACAGCCTTATGGCTGAGGCAGCTGTCTGTTTCACAACATTTACATCCTTACAAAATAATAACAGTTTCCTAAACATAGCCATTACTGCCTTGCGAACAGTTTCACAAAGTTCTTTTTCAGAAGAAAAGCCGGCAGCATCCAAACGGGTTTGAACTTGTGCCCTTGTGTAGAGGGCTCCCCGCCTCCTCTTCTGAAAATGAAATTGCAAAAAAAAAACAAGAGTTTACCAGCTATACATCCAATTCAGTCATCTTCACTCCAATTCACATACGCTTTCATGTGAAACTCTCGAGTGAAGACTTCAGACTCTCTCCAGGAAATTCTCTCTCATGCACACTGACATATAGCCCCAAGCCGTCGTCTCTTCTTCTCCCAACACAGTCACAACAATGGGACACTTTCTCCTCTCTTTTTGTGCGCTGGAGAGTGTATTGTGACACAGCACATACAAGAGCAAAACAAGAGGAGGAAGTGTCCCATGTGTGCTTGAGAGTGTTTTGTACTCTCATTCATGACCGGGCTAGAGTATACCTGCCAGGTAGAGCAGAAACAGAATGTTAACTCTCATGCATACCCAAAGCTACGACTTTATCAGAGGCAGTCTAACGCCAGACCGCAGCCTCTAGCACCTACTATCTTCCGCCGAACACAACGCACCCTCATCACGACGGTATCAGACCGAAAAGATAAATAGTATACATTCCTAAGCAGGGTGTGTGATGTTTGGGGAAAGACAGTAGCCCATGTGACTGAAAGATACACACACACACACGTTCCCAATCCTCCGGGATACAATGAGGTAGAAGGGGATGAGGTTGAAGTGCTCCCCCCTTGAACACAAAAAAGAAGCCAGAGGAGACTTCAAACCGCCAGTACTTTGCCACTGCACAGCCATTTTTCTTCAATGCCCCAACACTAACCCCATGTTTGGCAGGATGTACCAGCCTTCATGCAGAAGGCGTCCAGGCAAAAAACCAACATCGCTGTGTCTGGCGAGATGTACAGGCCTGCCACTCCGCATCAAACGCATCCACGCAGTCATGTGCACAGCCTGCTTTGACGGGATGTTTTCCACACGAAATAACAGGCCGCCACATCCCTCCAGACACAGCGTGAGCACTACAGGCGTCGCAGAAAAATGGAACACAGGCAAAATACCGCTGGGAGGCTCTGACGCAAATGCATATGGACCCGCGCCGTACACCGATTCAGCCACCACGTCAACGGCCTAACAACGTCGAGGTACCGCTGGTTAAACGGTGAATAACAAGCTACAAATGTGGGGAAAAAAAAAGCAGGGCACAGCTGTCAGGAACTTGTTGAGGCATTAAGGAAGAGCAGCTGTTGTTTGCAGAATAGCTTGCACAGGTTGGGAAAACCTTACGCAAACAACAAACAACAAAGCTGCCCAAATTAACAATCACACAACTTGCGTATCGGATTGTGTGCTCTGAACAAATTCCGGCGAACACAGCTCGAGAACAGTTGTCCGAGCGCAGCAGCAGGGAAAAGGAGACAAGCTGCGGAATGCTGCATTGCGCTGTGCTCAATAAATTTTCTTCTTTGTGTTCGGCTTCTTTACATGAATGGCTTCTCTGCAATCGGATTCTGTGGCTATCGTGCCATGAAACAAGGTGCAACTTGCGTATCACTTGTTATGAGTGAATTCAAAGAATCTTAATATGCAAATCCTACAACAGAAAAAAAAAAAAAACAAGTTTACATGTGTGCACCCCTGTTCAGCCAAATGGGTGAGGTTTGTCCTGGCAAGCGCCAACGCAACAACGAGGTGGGACTTCCAGTCCACACGTCCGCCGCACACGGCCATCAACACACCCACTGTCCACAGGGGCAAGATCCCACTTATTCCGATTACACATTTTGAGGCGTTGATCTTTATAATCAGCAGCCACAAATTGAGAATCAAGTTAAGTGTAACCAAATGCTCTTCCTCTCAGTCGATGGGGGGGAAAAAAAAGGACAAACCTGAATACTATTGCATTCAGAGAACCAAAAAGAACCAACTTTTGTCTCAAAGAACCGAAAAGAGCCACAGACCCGTGCTCATTATTGCATTCGAAAAGAGCTAGAATATGTCATGCAGCATACACACCTGCTCATTGTATATCTCGATCATCGTCACGAAGAACTGGTATCTTGAAGTAGGCGTCGTGTTCTGGTTGGCAAGCAGAAGCAATTCCTGAAATGATCTGTAGTATACACCACGGTTCTGAGATGTTCCCTCCTGAGTTGGATACAGAAGAAACGAAAACAGAAAAGAACGGGTGGTTGTTCAGGCCATCCAGAAAACCACGCGCAGGAAGAGACGGGCATCAAGATGACAATGACCCAATGTTCCACCACAAGAACAACAGAGAACATGCAGTTGAGGTTAGAAACCACCAAAAACATGGAGGTGGCACATGCCCCAATACTCTACGACACGAACAACAGAGAAGAAGCAATCGATGTTAGAGAAACCAACCACCAAAAGACATTCTTTTTCCTTTCCCCCTCCCTTCATTGCATAAACACATTGTTCAGCCCAGAAACATCAGAGAGTAGAACGTACAGACTTTTCCAAACAAGGACAAACAAACAGAAGACGTCAGATGACAGCCGAAAGAACGCCTTCACAGCAGAGAGGAGAAACATTGATTACCACATTTACATCTTTCCTCTTATCTGACAGAAGTCGTACCCAACATTCGATCAAACAAAAGGGAAGCGGGCCACAATCAGATGGCTGAAACACACTCCTAAGTTCAGCAGACAAGTCCCTCCGGACACCCGTCAAAATTGGAATGATACAGAGAAGATTAGCATGGCCCTTTCACAAGGATGACACACATAAATCGAGAAACGGTCCCTAAAAAAAAAAAAAAAAAAGAGTAGACACTCCCAGCCAAAACTTTGATCCAGACACGTTCAAAGTACGAACTCAACATCAAAGTAAAGGCAATTCAGCGGTGAGATGTAACAGGTTCTGCATCTAGCCATAATAGCCATCAGTAAGGGGATTTCCAACTTTTCTCCTCTCACAGAGAGAGAAAGAGAGGGTGCATGTTCGACTGTCAACATACAGGCGAATTCACATCTGAGAAAGAATCAATATGCCGAGCTTTTCTAATCTTCCAGCCTTGTAGGACTTGTACAAGCAAGCATACATTGACAAGGAATGAATGTTTCGCATTTTGTCCTCATGCGCTTGCAGAACTTTGTGCGTGATACCATCCTCTCGCCCGCATACGTACAGTCCACACACCCATGATTGCGCACTTGTACCCTCACACACACACACACACACACACACACACACACACACACACACACACACCTATGATTGTGCAC